CGGTGTTTCTCCTTCTTCTTCTCCTTCGTTATGTCTTTCTTCGACAAATTCCTTATTTCTTCCCGTTCTCTCTCTCACTTCTCTCTTCGCACGTCGATAAAATCCATTATTCTCTCCTACCTCCTTCTCTACTCCCTCATTTATCGTCTCCTCTTCCACTTCCTCTTCCTCTTCGTCTCTTGACCCCCGTGACCTTGCCTGGGGGTCATAGGTCAGGAAATTGGCAGATGACCCCCCCATTCTGAGCACGGCGGGAGACAGGGCGCGGGTCAAGGTCAGCAACAGAGGAGATCTGTGGCGGGAGGGAAAAGACATTTAAAATGGAGGGAACATGAGAAAGAGAGAGAGAGAGAGAGAGAGAGAGAGAGAGAGAGAGAGAGAGAGAGAGAGAGAGAGAGAGAGAGAGAGAGAGAGAGAGAGAGAGAGAGAGACAGACAGACAGACAGACAGACGAGAGAGAGAGAGAGAGAAGAGAGAGAGAGAGAGAGAGAGAGAGAGAGAGAGAGAGAGAGAAGAGAGAGAGAGAGAGAGAGAGAGAGAGAGGAGAGAGAGACAGACAGAGAGAGAGACAGAGAGACAGAGAGAGAGACAAAGACAGAGAGAGACAAAGACAGAGAGAGACCACAAGACAGAGAGAGACAAAGACAGAGAGATAAAGACAGAGAGAGACAAAGACAGAGAGAGACAAGACAAGAGAGACAAAGACAGAGAGAGACAACTAAAGACAGAGAGAGACAAAGACAGAGAGAGATTGATTGATTTAGCTTCAATTCCATTTGTTACAATGGATATTCTTTGCTGTGATATACTGTCTATTACATTTTCCAAATAAGATCTCACGAATACCGCCCCAGATCCCTTCACACTGCCCATAAAGGGAATCAGATCCTCCTCACGAGACACGTACTTGGTATCGAACTTCTTCCAGTGGTGCTGAATGAGCGAGGACCCGAGAGCCAGACTCAAAAAGGTCCTTGGGACTTCGTGCACGACCTCCTCCTCGTCCACCTCGAGTCTCGGCCGTGGGTCGTCCTCGAGAGTGGGTTCTGAAAGGGTTCAGGTACGGTTTGGCGGGGTACAGGTGGGTGTATTTTCATAAAATGTGTTTCTGTGTTTTGAGAATACTGAAGAAGGTTGCTAAGGGAAAAGATCAAAACTGGACAGAAATTGTGAATGTGTGTGCGTGTTTTATACAGACTGGGAGGCCTATAAATATATATATTTTAAATTCTTTCACTCTTTCTATATTTCCTATTCTTCCATATAGAAAACAAACACCGACTGGACTGCATATACTTACACACACATACACACATACACACGCACACATGTAAATCTATAATGAAAAAGGAAGTGAGGAGGAGGGAGAGACAGAAGGAGGGTGGGGGAAGGGAGGGAGGGAGGGAGGGAGGGAGGGAGGAAGGGAGAGAGAGAGGGAGAGGAGGGAGGGAGAGGGAGAGGGAGAGGGAGAGGGAGAGGAGAGAGGGAGAGGAGAGAGAGAGAGAGAGAGAGAGAGAGAGAGAGAGAGAGAAGAGAGAAGAGAAAGAGAGAGAGAGAGTGAGAGAGAGAGAGAGAGAGAGAGAGAGACAGACAGACAGACAGAGACAGAGACAGAGACAGACACAGAGGATGGTGAACGAGAAGCAAAGAGAAAAAGTAGAAGAAAAGGAATCAAACATAAAAAAAAACAATTAAGAAACAAAACTCCATCTAAATTCCTTCTCCTGCGCCCGTACCTCGACCACCTCCTCCTCCTCCTCCAGGCAGCTGTCCCTCCGCCCCCAGTCCGAGAATCTTGACCAACAGCTTCGTCAGCGACCTCTGGGTTATCCCACGATCTCTGGAGTCCTTCGGGCGGGTCAAAAGTTCTCTCCAGGTCTCGGGTGTTGCCTCTCTCTCCCTCTCCCTCTCTCTCGCCTCTCTTTCGGGGTCAGTCTCTCGCTTGTGCGCCTTCTCGGGGGTCTGTGGGGCAAGGTCGGGGTTAAAAACGAGGTCATTTGCACACTCCTTAGGTCGCGCGCTGGTGATGACGTCATCTGTTGAGTCTGGGGGGGTTACAGGCGCAAAATACGAGTGATGACGTCATCTGTTGAGTCGTGGGAGGGGTTACAGGCGCAAAATATTACGAATGATGAATCTGTTGAGTCGGGGGGGGGGGGTTACAGGCGCAAAATATTACGAGTGATGACGTCATTTGTTGAGTCGGGGGGGGGGGGGAGGGTTACAGGCGCAAAATATTACGAGAGAGTAAAGTGAATTTTCGTAATTAATTAGTAAGTGGTTAAAAAGTATGGCTGATGAATGATAATGAATACTTTAATCAGATCGACTTTGTTATTATGTTAATTATTCTTTAATTTTAAAGGAGCGGAGGGAATCACTGTTCATGGCGCCTCAGCCATTCGGTGTGACTCTCTTTCTTTCTTTCTTTCTTTCTTTCTTTCTTTCTTTCTTTCTCTCTCTCTCTCTCTCTCTCTCTCTCTCTCTCTCTCTCTCTCTC